GATGGCGGATGTGAATCGGCTGCTTGCCGATTTACGAGGTTTTCGTACCCATAACCACGATAATGAGTGTAGTGAACGGGACAAGAAACATACATGGCTTGATGACCCAAGGCTACCATGACTGGGTGTAGTTTGCTCGCTTACTCTTACGAGAAATGAAACTTGTTCCTTTTTTACATTTGTGCACTCCTCTTAAAATTACTGACCATGTCCCCGAAGGGAACCCTGATAGGATGCGAAGCAACAGTGGTGCGCAAGGCGTTGACCCGGCTGAAACAGGCGTCGACGCGGGTGCTGGAAGAACAATTTGAAGTGAACCTCGGCGTAGCCTTTACTCGAGTAAACGTTTCTTTTGAGACGCAAAGACACGGGAGGCAGGTTGGGTTTCACGTAAGTTTCATCCCCGATAAACGAGCCGAAAAAGTGTTTCACTCGACGTGTGGTCGATCGTTGCGGCTGGTGGAGGGACGGTCGAGCGAGAGAGAAGTGTGTTATGAGCGCGCGGAGGAGCAACACCACCTAGTTATATCAGAAGAGCCGGCAGCTGCTTCTGGTGAAGGCGAGAGTGACGTCAACGCGCAGCTGCGACTTGATTTTACTTGGCATATTTCCAATAACCGTGGCGAGGGGAAACGCGGTGCGGCGCGTTGACACGGAGACACGGACTGACAGCGGTACACAGGCTTGTCAAACAGCTGCTTTGCTTCTCAATAACAACCACAGCTACTTTAACCAGAATTGCAATCGTTCACTGCGACAGTCTAGGCGATCATAGAAAAAGGTGGTTATGGTTTGCTAACCTGATCCAAGCCAATGAGTTTGCTCACTAAACTAACAGGAAAGGACATAGTTTGCTGCTTTGATTAACGGATGATGCGAGTACACGCGTAGGACAGCAGAACTCACAGACGGCTGTAAACCACCACGCTCAAATCTGTACACGCATAGGTTGGGCAATAGAAACACAAATGAATTTCTTGGGGAGACAAGCCGACAGTAAATCAGCTTTCGCAAAAAATAAGCGCGAGCCTCAATTCAGGCCATCTCCACTGGGCAGCCATATTCACCCAACTGACCCATTATAACTCAGCCCTGTCAAGTTATCGCAAAGTCTGCGGATGCTTAATGTGAAGGTTTAAATTTAAGTGTCGTCGACCTATTTGCGTTTTTTTTGTTTTTTTTCTTTACTCTGTTGATTTGCTGGTCTATATCAATGACACAGGTTTACGCTGTAATCGTTGATAAGCAAGTACAATACATCGAAGTTTTGTACATACTTACTGTAGATCGACTCAGTTTCAAAAAACACCAGCTACTTCTTGTCGCTATGATTTCATCACCTGAGATTGACTTCGTCCAGGGAGGCTTCAGATGAGCTCGTATGAACACTGCATCGAGTGATTCATGCAAAGTTCACTTCGCAAGTTCAGTACCACTGAAACGAATCTAGGTTCGGACGTGAGCGTGAATTTCGATTCGTTTAATATTCGTGTGAACGAGCACCTGTCGATCGATGTCTGCTTATACCCGCCACGAGAACTTTCGGATGTGCGTGTCTCATCTGAGCTACCGCTAGTCGTTCGTATTTGTAGAATGAACTGAATGACACGTTTGAACGGTGATGTAGAGCCTGTAGTATCTTTTTAGAGAACCTGTAGAGCATAGCGTAGAACAAAGAATGGTATACAGAGAAGCGTCAGTACGGTAGTCCACGCAAGAGGGAAGGCGATCTTACCATTCACGTCACGGAATAATCGTGTTACTGGTAACGTTGGAATCATCACAGTGTAGCCTCTTTCTTGGGATACTTGAACGCAGAGCTTGAGCTCTGCCTGTCTGTCTGTCTGTCTGTCTGTCTGTCACGCGATTCAGCCACCCGGCCAAAGTTTAAGCACTTGCTGAGTGCCAAGCCATGTCGAACTGGTGACTGCGTTCATACATGTGAACATTGTAGATCGAGAAGCAAATATTACGCATCTCTAAAAGGCAACATCAATACGTAGGTATTTGATGGTGTGTTCCTTTACTATAAAGTACATAGATACGTAATTTTAATGAACTTCGTGTTTGTTAGGTTGTGCTGAAAATGGGGAGCTATGCACGAAAGAAGGCTGGCAGAAGACTCTCGTCTTTTGACGACATTTTCGGCGAAGTACGCCGACACGCGGCGATTTTTGTTTTCGCAATGCGTAAGAAAGGTCTCGCTCCCCCGAGGTTATCAAATTACTGTGGTCTTACCGCAGCAGGACTTCGTACAGTGTGCGCGAATCTCCTAATCTGATCACGCCACTAATGTTGCTGCTTGTGGCTGCCGTTGGCGCGTGTAGCTGTGCGTGTTTTAGCGTTTGTTACTTCTGCGTGTACGTTTTGCGGGCAACGCTATACACGTACGGGTCATGCCACCTCAATCGATATCACCCTGGACATCAGTTTCTTTGCCGTAGCGTCAATTACGGGAGTACAACTGACCACTGGTGTTTCAGCTAACCTGCGCCAAGTATAGATAGACATAAAAACATACGTGCTATGCACGTCGAGCTTGACCGGTACTCTTCCGATACCCCATGCTGGCTTTCTCCATTCCGTGCTGTTTCGAAACTCGTCTCTTGGTGCGCGAAATTTATGCGCTTGATACCAATGGAAATGGCGTGAGATGGTATGCAGTGTAACCTTAATGGAATGATATGTTGATGTTGGCGTGTGAATCCCCGTAAAACAATACACGACGTGTTACGTGCGAAGAGCACGATGTGAATATGAAGAACAGCGTACTAGATGGTACCGGAAACTCCAGCAAACTGATGTTCCTTGACATGCTCTGACATCGTACAGTACACTGGACTCTGGCATTCCACCTCCATCGAAATGCGACCGCCGGGAGTCGAACCCACGACCACGTCAGCAGTTGAACACAGTAGCCACTATACACCACCACGGCAGACACTATTTACGGGAACGTTGAATCCGGGACAGTTAGGCTACTCTCGCTGTGACACTGCAGCTAATAATAATATTTTTGTTGAATCTATACTTGTGTGACATTCCTGTGAACCCACTCGCTCTATCTTACTATGAGAACCACTTACGTCGGCTGATATGACTAAGTCGTTTACGATATGCTTCTTGCGCTAACTGCACTTGATGTACCGGGGCGTTTATGTTGCGCGTATTGTCTCGTGCAAATAAAACCCACAAAACAGTTGGCAAACTAGTGTGACTTTCGCAACTGATAACTCGGGAACACCATCACAGACCACTACGTTTGCGTGCACATGGTTTTACTATGTCGGTCTGCACTTGAATGTGAAAGCCGAAATAATGACGACATGGCTAGTACTGGTGGAAACAATCAGAAAGGACGTGTTTTAATTAGACGTTTTCTTATTTCAATCGTTTATTGCTGTACTGAGATCGGTGTGACAGCACACAGTTTTCGCGCACACCCAGAGGATACAGCTGCTGTCCGGACGTGCATGGGCAGATAGGACTGCCGCTTCCACAAGGCATCCACTTTCTTCAACGCTGCACGGAAGTGGCGCGTTGGAATTGCATCCAGGCGCTGACACTTAGCCGCGTTAGGCGCGGTGCCCCGTCATTTCCTACCCGTAATTGGCTTCAGCCATAGCTCGCAGGCGCGCCCGCGTTTCGAGCATGACGCACAGGCTTGGCCTGTTATATGCACGCTCCGTGTCGCCACGTCACAGCGGGGGTTGATGGCGTAAGAAAGATGTGGCGACGTTCCTAAATCGCCGAGTCGCCATAGGAGGAAGTTTGATGCGATATGGTCATTTTCTTTGTTCGGTGCACGGAGCTTGAAGCGTTGTGCATGCCATGCGATATGCCTTCCCCGACCTACCAACAGGGTTGTGAGTGCACCAGAAGGCAGTCTTGCTATTTATTTAATTCCTACTCCGTATTAGAACATTACATATAATCTTGTTAGAAGCAAGATGGTATTACTGAGGCTCGCATTAGTTACGGTTTTTATCTATGCATGCAGGCGTTTCCGTCTAGAAAAAAGTGATAAGTATATATGTTAGCTCTCAGCAACAGAGCTTTTGGATTGCCATTTTAACCGGAAGATGATAATGTAGGAAGACAAATTAGCTTCACGACTTGAAGGAGGCACAGAAGATCAGTTCATCTTTGCCGTGGTTAAAATTTAGTAGCGTTTGTGTTCCGGCGTAATCTGTAGGCTCTAGGGTACT